TTCCCTCCTTTCTTCCCTCCTTCCTTCCCTCCTTCCTTCCCTCCTTCCTTCCCTCCTTCCTTCTTTTCCTCCTTCCCTCCTTCCCTCCTTCCCTCCTTCCCTCCTTCCCTCCTTCCCTCCTTCCTTCCCTCCCTCTCCCTTTCTTTCTTGGTGGTGGTGGTACTGAGAAGCTAGAAAGGCACTCTATCACTGAGCTATCTCCCCAGTATTTTTTATTTTGAGACAGGGTCTTGCCCAGATTGGCCTTGAACTTGAATTCCTCCTTCTTCAGCCAACATACCTGGTCTACATTCCATTTTTCATTATACGATTATATTTATTATGGATCTGATTACATAAATAGTTTTTTATTTATTCTTGTACAAGATGGCATATTTCCTTTTGTACTTTGTGTTTTTTATTGGGAGTTTACATTCTTGACATTTTGTATATGGAAGTAATTTGGGGTTACGTGACCTTTTTGGGGGGTACTGAGGATTAAACCCAGAGCCTTCACATGATACTGTAACTCCATCCTTTTGTTTGTTTTTTATTTTGAGACAGGGTCTGACTAAGTCACTAAATTTCCCAGGTTGGGCTTGAATTTTTTATCTCCTGCCTTAGCCTCCCAGTGTGCTAGGATTACAAGTATGCACTGCTATGCCCAGCTAAATTTACCTCCATCAGAGAAAATTTCCTTATTTGCCTCTACCAATTGCTTAGGGATACTAAACTTAAAAAAGTTTTTCAGGCCACATAGATAAAGATCATGTAATTTCTATATCTGAAACTCCTGGGGGGGGTGGTTTGGTTTGCATTTAGGGTAGTTTGGAGGCTTTTCCTTCTCTTCTTTCTTGAGTGAATCCTGTTACATATTCTGTTTTCCTCTTCCAAAATACTTGTTTCCTTAATTTCCTCTGTATTAAGGTTATTATCTTTTGGCTGTCACAGTTCTGTGTAGTGTCTCTTCTCTGAGGCACCTACTTTGTAAGCGCCCTGGCACTTGCCCATTAAAAACCCAAGTTCCAATCACAAATCCACCTCCCCCCTCTCCCCACGCTCCCCAAGATTAACACTATTTTGTTAGACACTATTTGTCAGTGCTGAATTTCTGCTTCCTGAATTTCTCTCCATTTTAAGTGTACAACGTGATTTTTAGTAAGTTTACGGAACTGTGTGGCCATCATCACAACCTACGTTGAGAACTGTGGAATTGTTCACACATGCTTTTTTATATCTTATTTTTTATATCTTACTCCATAGTAATTGGATGGAGGCTTCACCTTCTATAGTTTTTCACCTTTTCCCTTGTTTGGGGGCTATTACAAACTTTTTGAAGGGCTCTGAAATTTCTGTCACCTGCAGTTAGTACTTCTGTTTTATTTAGGACAAGTTTGAGAAAGCTGAGTTACTGATTTCACTGTTATTTTTTAATTACAGGAATTCTGAGCATTTTAAAGAAGAAAACTTAGCTGGTAGCTTGACTCAAGGCCCCGTGGGGTACAGTGCAGGTTTTGAGCTCCCTGCAGCCTGCTACTTGGTCGTGTGATGGCCTATTCACCTTACAACTCTCTGCGTCACCGTTCTTCTCACATGCTCACTCCGACAGCAGGCATATCCGCTGGGAGTGCAAAGAAAGCTCTTCTGCAGGGGCTCTGGGGTTGGGGCAAAGAGTAACTCAGCCAAATATAAAGCTAGGAGCAGTTAATATGGACATGGGAAACAACTTTTGTTTGATTTAAGAGAGTTATAAAGTCAGATATAGTAGAGGAAAATAGTCTTATGGATATTTTTCCAACAGAGTTCACTTAAATTCTGTCTAAAGATAATCCATTGTGGAATAAAGAGAGAGCTTTCCTAGATGGCTGAAAAGCGGTCTTTCCTGTTTTGTTATAGAGGTCATATTTGTTGATCTGACATACAGTCAGCAGCTCAGATTGCCACTGGGTTATTTCTAAAATCAGCAAAATTCAAGGCTGATTTTGTTTTATGAGTAGTTTGCAAATTTTCTGAAGACACTTTTTCTTCTACAAAGTCCATCCATATTTAGAGCAAAGGAGAATTTGGACAGGAAAGGATCTGTGACCTCAAACGTAGTGGTCATAGTGTCAGTTATAGTCCACCTCTTAGATCAGCAGGAATCAGACATTTATGTTCCTGATACACAAGTAATGTAACTGTAGTAGCAAAAATATAATATTTATTTTCAGAACAAATCTGAAGATTCTGCTTACTGACCTACAAAGTTTCCACTCTGCTAGGTCCTCTGTGGAAGTTAGGTGCTCCGAGTGTTTGTAATTCAGACAGTGGATTTTTCCTTTTTGGGGGGGGTTTTCTCGGTACCAGGAATCAAACTCACGACCTTGCGCTTGCCAGGCAGGCACTGTGCCACTGAGCTAAATGCCCGGCCCCTAGACAATGGATTCTTCTTTAGTCTCGTTATTAACTGTTATCCCTGATTTCAAGAGCCCCAGATTTTCCAGTGAAAGGGGCATTGAGGAAACCCCTTTCCTCCCTCTCCTTTCACTGTAGTCAGGCCTGGCGCTAGTGTCTGAGGTTAGCCTCTCAGAACTGTGGTGGAGATTGCATTTGCACATTTGTCATTGTTAGAAGTGAGCAGCCCTATCCCCGGAGGGTAAATTGAAGCCCATTCATCCAGAGAAGACTGTCAGTGACAGGCGCTGCTTCCTCCACCCAGGCCTTCTGAAACTGGCTGTGTACTCTTGTAGAACATCGCTGCTTCAACAGAACATCAGAGCGTTTCAAAGTAATGTTGTAAAATAAGAACAACTCTTCCATCCCTCTTGTTTTATTATGATTTATATCAGGAAATAGAAAAGATGGTTTACAGAATTCAGCCATTTCAGCCTTAACCACACCCTCATGGGTCTCAGACCCACCTTCCTGATCTGCATAGAGAATACTTACATAATCTTTTGCTTCTTAAATACTTTCTATGAGTTTTAAGGATTCATGAAATTGAGAGAATATAAACTAACATAAAATCGTATTAGTAGTGATAGAAAGAAGAATCAAAACAAGGCTATCACCTGGCTGCTCTCCTGAAAGATGGGAGTGGCTGGGGCTGCCCGCCCTCTCTACCCTCACCTCACCAGGGAGCTTGGTCAGTCTAAAACTGTTAATTCAGTGATTGGCATCAACTTCTGTTTTTTAGAATGCCTTCTTAAGGCAGTAAAGCAATAGAAGTTGTAGATTATTTTTCATGAACATATCTAATTAGGCTTTCCCCTTCTTTTTTGCATCATGAAATACATATTTTGAGGGTAATTTTTGTTCCCAGTACTTGGGATTGAACCCAGGGCTGGGCACATGCTAGGTACTCTGCCACTGAACTGCTTTCCCAGGCCTCCCGAGTAGCTGATGTTACAGGCATACATAACTGTGCCCAGCTGAGGGTAATTTTTAAGTCTTAAGTTTTACAAAATTAAGCTTAGCTCATATTTTGTAGTAACCTTCAAACTACACAAAGAAATAGAAATCTTCAGTCATTTCTGCAAATTGTCATCCTGAAAAGAAATGGCTCTTTGCTCAGGTTGACAGTAGAAGATAGAGTAAGCTATAGATGTTGCCTCTCCGTGTTATTTTGAAGGTCCCATAAACATTAGTGATCTGACTTTCCATTTCCTTATGTTTTTATGTTTAAGTTGCACATTACTTGTTTTTCTTTGTTATTAGGCATTGCATGATTTTGATAGTTAACAGTCTTACAGGAAGCTGATAATCTTTAACTGTGGCACTGCAAACAGCCGTAATAGTGTATAATTTTTCTTGTGCGTGTATGTGCTTAAGTTTGGTGGAGGAGTAAAAATCAAAGGTTATTGCCATTGCCCTTGTTTACTCTGGTATTAGATTCTGGAAAGTGCCTCTGATATTCCACTGCCTACGCCTTTGTCGTTCATAACTCAATTTGCACCTGGGGTAAAGATGTGTCTGAGCACTGTGTAGTCAGCTGGGCCCTAACACTGCTAATGCAGTTGACAAGCCTGTTCATTTAGAAACATGGGTAAGTGATCACTACCTTCACAGTTGCTGCGGAGCATCATTCTCAACACAGCCAGAGTTTTAGCCAAACAAGGATGACAATGACTTGGAAAGATGGTATCTAGCTCTGTTAGCTGTATCACTGAGATGGGTGGCTGGGAAGACAGAGATTTTATTTCACATTAAGCACTGTCAGGAAAGGGTCAAGCTGTTGATTTTTTTGAGAACCCATCTGAAGGACAGCTTTGCTCTCACTTATGGAATGTCGTTCTTGTTTCCTCTTTTTCCATTTTTGTGGATGGCCTTGGGTCTGTCTTGATGCTATCCTCATGCTTGTGTTCAAATAAGACTTATCTTGGCTTAAATCAAGCATTCATATACCTGTGAAATGAGAACAGCAACTTAGAATTTTTATTTCCTTCCTTCAAAAACAGCTGTAAAATTCATGTTTATTGGTGGATACAAATGGTGCTTTCCTTTTTTTTTTTTTTTCTTTCGAGACAGGGTCTTGCTATGTAGTCCATGCTGGTCTGGAACTTACTGTGTAACTCAGGCTGGCCTTGAACTGTCAGAGACCCTTCTGCCTCAGCCTCTCGAATGCTGGAATTCCAGGTGTGCGCCACCACACCAGGCCAGTGATGCTTTCTTAATGTTTGGGTCTTCAGCTCTTCCTCACAGTACTGCCAGTAGCAGAGAACCTCCTTCTGAAGTTCATGTACAAGCAGGTTAGAGTCCCTGCACAGCCTCTGAGCTCCAGGTTCTGGGATCTTCCCAGGTCTTGCCACCACTTTACAGTGTGATTTGTGTATTTTGCGTCTGTATAGTTTACTTAATACAGAGTTTTAAAATGTGTCCCCATAAGCAGGTTATGAGAAATAAAGCCCCACTAGTGTATTCTTCATCTCTTCTGAAAAGTTCTTAGTTGAGGCATATTAATTCCTGCAAATAGGTATATGAGTGTTTTCCTTAATCAAAAGAGAAAAATCCTCAAGAGATCTTCTTGTGTCGTTCCCTCATAGGTTGCCAACTTGGCCTGTTCCATCTCAAACAATGAAGAAGGTGTAAAGCTTGTTCGAATGTCTGCAAGCCAGTTAGAAGCCCTCTGTCCTCAGGTAAAGTACATCCAGCAGTGTTTGTAGCACCACCAACCTGGGTTTTAGTACAGTGGAGATGTAGCTTATTTTTTTAAGTTTTGGCTTTTTATTTTTTAAGGTTTTAAAATAGACATCTTGGAGACAAATCACTGATAGAAAATCCATACAGTTTGGGAAAAGTCTCTGTGGTTTTTTTATTGGTTGTTTTTGTTTTCTTTTGATTTTGTGATACTGGGGGTTGAGCCAGGTGCACTCTCCTTACACAGCCACAGCTCCAGCACTTTTGATTTTTATGTTGAGGTAGGGTCTTGCTAATAAAAAGACAGACCTGCTGCCCTCAAACTTAGGGTCCTCCTGCCACAAGCTCCCAAGTGGCTGGGGTTATAGGTGCAGTGCCGCTTCCTTTTGCCATCACACATTACTAACTTCCTGCACTTCGGTAAAAGTGCAGTGTCCTCCTCCGTTGGGAGAAAGTGAGTGTCAGTGACCACGCGTCCACCTGCACCCCATCTTAATGTCCAGTATTGGGGGCTCTGCTGGAGGAAGCCACAGTCCAGAGCTGGTGTTTCTCTAATGTCCTCAAGAAGTTGATGATGCAGCTGTAACTTAATTCAGCCAGTAAAATCTAGATAAATTTTCTCCAATGGTGTATTAGGAGATTAGGCTACCCTAAGTCTGTGGCACCCTGGACAGACTCTGAAGTACATGGATACCCTTTCCGTGCCCAGTGTTTTGCCTGACGCCCCTGAGGGAGTTTACTGTCAGAGGGAGCTCACTGTTTGCATGGCCTGACACTCCCTGCCATCCAGAGATTACTAAGCAGTATGGGTGGTATTTTGGTAGAAGAGATTTCATTTCCATTTTCCCAAGTAGCAAATGTCCAGGACATACTTTGACAACTTACGTTAACCTCTTTCTGTGTGTCCTGCCAGATGGCAGTGGCCACGGACAGGCAAGTAAGCCACAGAAGTGGAATGAGGCTAGATGTCAGAGGAATGAAGTTGCTGTGCTGTGTCTGCAGCCATTCTGAAAATACACTATGGCATTACTTTGGCTCTTTCATACAGATATTCCCCAGCAGTCAAGACAGCTTGGTTTGTCAGGGATTGCTGTAGTGTTAGGTAGTTTGAGGAGCACCTTATGAATCCACATCATCTGGTGGATATTTCCATGATTTTAACCCAGCCGTGAAGTCCGCTAGTGGTTGTTAGCTATACAGATAATAAGTGTAGTGGATTTAATCACACCTCCAGAAAGTGTGTCGTAACTAAATTATGTGAAATAGGCTTAGCATGAATTTTTAAAAATTGGGCATGCTTTTCTCAAGTTTGCCATTTTATCCTATCAGCACTTTGTTTTTAGTATCTTTGGTTTCTGTTTAGTTTTGAAATGCTTAAAAAGCGGCAGTGCTTCCACATATCTGCGGAAACAGATGGTGACATACGCTGATCACACCTACCAAGAGTATTTATATAAGTGATCTAGGGGGAGATCACACGAAGTATCTAGGAGATCCTAATGAAAACACTGGGGTACATAAACCATGTTTGACTAGGCCATGTGCAGAGTTTAGAGTTTGCCATCAGAAAGTCTCATTTCTCCCTCTAGCTGCAGTTTCGTGTCTCTTACTAAATGGACCCTGGGTGGAGTGGGCGTCAGATGGGCACTGCCCCCACAGCTCTCGGTACTAGGTATATATCCTGGATAAAAAGTTGTTTTCCAGGTGTGGTTATTCTCCACGGTCTGGCTGGGCTCCTTGGTCTTGCTCACAGACTGCTCTGCAGGAGAGGATGGGTGGGGTCAGTCACAGCAAATATACTAGATGTTGGTACTTCTCATAATGGCAGACTGGGCAGCACAGGCCATTTGGTTTTCAGTAAGGAAGCTATGACTGCACTACAGCGCATTATGGCCAGACCCCTTCATTATTTTAAAGATAGTCATCAGTTCGAATTTTTCAAGTCACATGGTGTCATGTGTCCTGGTGAAAAGGATATGAGAGAAAGCCATTGCCACTCAGTGACCAACTTGTCTCTGAAAAAGAGTGAACAATTAACTTTCTGTCTTTTGCAGGTGATTAATGCTGCATTGGCTTTAGCAGCGAAACCTCAGAGTAAATTGGCTCAAGAGAACATGGATCTTTTTAAAGAACAGTGGGAAAAACAAGTCCGTGTTCTCACGGATGCTGTGGATGATATTACTTCCATTGATGACTTCTTGGCTGTCTCAGGTAATGAGCTGGTTCTTCAGAGAAGCATGTAAAGATGTGCGTAATTACTTTCATCTAAGTTATAGTAATGAACAATCAGACACCCCCAAGTATGGGCAGGTAAATTTTTTAGGCATTAACATGCTGGTTTCAAAAAATATTCCCACTGTCTCCTGAGCAGAAGGAGGTGAGTTGGAGCTCTATCCCTTGTGGCAAGGCTGCTCTTGATCCTGGAGGCATAAGTTTTGTTTCCTTTCTGGAAAACTTCTCCTCTGTCTCTCAGAAGTGATCATAGTTTAACTGCCTACTTTTCTGAAGACTCTGTCTGCATGATGCACAGATAGAAAACAGAGAGGAAATATTTAAGTGTCGTTTAATTATGAACTTGCAAAAAATAAATCTGGGTAATTCACCTCACAAAAACAGTTGATTTCATTATATAAACATAAACTGGTAATGACATAGTAAATTGCATTCATATAGAAAATGTCTGTCAAATGCAATTCAGTGTTTATCACACAGAGATAAATTTCAGTTCTGTCTCCTTAGAGTTCAGTAACATTAAATGCACTCTCCATTTAACCAGGCCTCTGTTGTCCTTGGCTTCCTGGCTGCTCTCTGGAAATGCCAGGCTTCCTGAGGCCAGTGGCTGCAGGCAGTCAGTGGCTGGGTTCTTAGAGGGCTAAAACCACCTGTCACCCCGGGAGCTGCAGACTAGAATGTGGGAGGTCTGAGTGGCAGTGGGGCTTCAGTACATGCGCAGCACAGTCCTCCAGCAGTGACCTATATAAGGGTGGCGGTGTGTTCTGAATACCAATGTTTCCTGCCTTTGCGTGCTCTCCTTGGGATTGGTAGCTTTGGCTTTACTTCACATAGTGGGGAACAGGCAATTTGTAAACTGTAAAAAGCTAGGATAAACCATGTTGCTGCAGGACCGCCAAATTGCAGGTGCTGGTACTTTAAAACAAAAATCTCATTTGCAAGCACATCTTTGCAGGTGCCAAAAATGCAGCAATGGCTTTTTTGGGAAATCTTGGCCTTCTGTTGTTTTTCCCAATGAAGTACTGAATTATTCTTTTTCATAGACTTAGAGAAAAACATTCCACCTTCACAGCACACTTTTAAGCAAACAACAAATTCTGAAATCTAAATGTAAAAGCCCCCCCCTCCCCACCGGATGGATATCACATTCCTACAGTTCCTTTTTTGAGATTAGCTGGATATGGCTCAGGCTCAGTCTCAAGGGATTTTCAGTCCTTCTTACAGAAAAATAAAATGTAATAGAATCAAATGTCCCTCATGCAACATTCTTCAAAGAACAAAAGGGATTCTGCAGTAGCATTTCCTGGGATCCAGCAGGAAGGTATGTGGCATAAAACAGAAGAATAGTAAAGACAAATCAAATTCTTCAGCAGACCAATTTTGTCTGGTGAATGTGTTTCAATCTTTATGTACATGTATGAGAATTTAAGACAGGGTTGACTTAATGGTAAAGAGTTTAAGACAGTTTCTAGTTAGCAAATGAAAACCTGGAACTGTTCTCTTAGGAAGTGGTGTTTTCAGAGGCTCTGAACTTCGGAGTTCTACCTGGTGTGTTTTTCTCATGTTTGTCATGAGCTTCCTGAGAAATTCAGTGAAGTAATTTGTAGGGCAGGGCTTTATTCACAATTCCTGTGCTTTTAGAGGCATGGGATGAAGTAAGAAAAGAAGCAGAAGTCTGTGCAGAGTTCTGGTTGATTTCCAATGCTCAGACTCTTTGAAATCCTCAGACGTTTACCTCCCATGGCAGATCTAGGACTTACTCCATGGAGGAGTAGAGATGTCTTTTCATCTCACCTGCCACACAGCCCGAGTAGGTGTCAGCTGCAGCAGGCAAGAGGCCATGTCTTGGTCTCACCTAGACTTGCATCGTGTGCCAGTCTCCCCGTGCACTGGTATTGCAATGTCCTCAGTGAGATGGGCTTTTTTTTCTAAGCAGGCCTACCTGACAGAGTCTGGCTTAAGGTAGATGGACGTCATAGAATTTGTCTAAAAGTAAGTGTATTGATTCACTTCTTGGACTGGCTGTTTTCTGCTGTATGCTGGAGCCTTGAGTGCCTGTGACAGTGTGAGGAGTTTTATAGGATAGTTCTTCAAGTTCCACCACCAAGTTCCCTCTTAGAATCCAAGGGACCTAGACATTTGCTGCAGTCCTGCTGACTCACAAAATACCACTCTGGATGTTTAGCCCGAAGTACTTAATGTAGTATATTATTTGTTTCTAAGAGCATTTGCTAAGGAATGGCATACACCCAACTGGAACCACTCTGTATAACCACTTGCATCTTTTACATCAAGAAGCCAAAATTTCAACAACGAATGAGGAAATAAATTGCCTTTCTATGGACAATGTTTATCAAATACAATTCAGAGGAAACTGTCACCGTCTTTACCACTTGGGTGAATTTCAACCCATCTAAGGAGAAAATATATATGGGATAGGGCTGAGCACCCTGATTTTTCTAGCTTTTTTGTTCATTGATTCCAGAAGGTCCCTCATCCTTATCACAAGTTACATACTCAGTTTTGGCTCCAAAAGTAATGGTTATCTTGTGTATAACTTGGTAAAACGACCAAAAACCAACAATGGCTTTTGCTTTATTTTATTTTAAGGTAAGGAGGTTGGAATCAGGGCCTAAATACATGCTAGGCAAGTGCTCTATCCCTGAGCCACACCCTTAACCCCCAACACCGGCATTTCATTCATTCATTCATTCATTCATTCATTCATTCAGCCAGTCAGTACCTACTGGGATCAAACCCAGGGCCTCTTCGTGCTAGCCAAATATTCCCTGGCATTTTATATGAGGTTTCAGGGCAGGATGGGATTTGGTTCCTTTGTGTTTAATATGATAAAGAGAATAACATTCATCTTTGTTTGGGGTGGGAGATACCAGGAATCAAACTCAGGACCTCTTGTTTACAGCACTTAAAGAAGGGGATGAGCAGGGAAGAGGAAGTAGAATCTCTGCTTCCCAAGTTGTTCTACTGAGAGTCTTGCCTTGTAGATGCTGGGGGTGGGTTAGGGTGCTAGAGAGCATTCTGCAGACCAGGAATGTGTTTATACTGACTGATCCCTGAAAGAGAGTGGTCTGAAATTCACCCAAGTGGTAAAGACTGTGACAGTTTCCTTTGAATTGTATTTGATAAATGTTGTCCATAGAAAGGCAATTTATTTCCTCATTCGTTGTTGAAATTTTGGCTTCTTGATGTAAAAGATGCAAGTGGTTATGTAGAGTGGGTCTAGTTGGGTGTATTTTATTTCTTAGCAAATGCTCTTAGAAACAAATGATATACTACATTAAGTACTTCGGGCTAAACATCCGGAGTGGTACTTTGTGAGTTTCTTCCTTAGTGTCAGTGCATCCCAGTAATTTGGACTGATTTGGGTACAAAAGAGTTATCACACTTAATTTTTGGTTTTTTTGTTTTGTGTTTCATAGCAAAAAGCAGAACTATAGATTAGTTTGCCTTTGGAGGGAGTAACGCAGATAACGGTAGAGTTAGGAGGTTTGATTCCTGACTCGTGTGCCCACTTGCTGTGCGGCGTTGATCAGGTCACTCAGATCTTCTGTACATTGGTTTCTTCACTAATTAATAATGATTTAAAAAAAAAACCTACAAGTAGAGAGAGTTAAAAGTCAAACTCTCAGAATAGTGCCTGGCTTAGAGTAACCCCACATAAAATGTGAGACAATAGTATCATTTCCTGTGGGTGCCTTGGTGGCACTGATAAAGTTATCCAGGCTAAAGAACATGAAGATAAGCCCTGTTGTCACATGTTGAGGACTGGAGTTCTTGTATGCTTTCTAGAAAATGGCTAGTTGGTGTGATTTCTGGAAGGAAATTAGGTACTTTTAAGTCAGAAGTCTCATTGCTAGAAATTTTCCCCAGGGAGAAGTCACAAATGTTTGCCAAAATACCTGTGTAAGAATGTTTTCTTTAAGCCAGGTATGGTGGCATGTGCCTGTAATCCCAGCATTCAAGAGGCTGAGGCAGGAAAATTGCTGTGAGTTCAAGGCCAGCCTGAATTACAGAGTAAGGCCCAGCCTCATAAATAAATAAGTGAATGAATGAATGCATGCATGCTTTCGTCAATCTGAATGTCTTGGCAGAGAGTGGATGAGTGAATTATGGCCCTTCCATCTGTTCTACAGAGTCCTGTGTAATCATTAAAATGGGTGGGGTAGATCAGAAGTCATAGACCTACAAAGGCTTTCAGGTGACAAAGATACAGTGTCCATGATAGGATCTCGCATCCACTGACAGCCATGGACACCTGTACAGATAGACTGTCTTATGTATGTGCATTTGTTTTTCCTGATAGAAGCATTCCTATAAGTAAGACTGCGTTAAATAGTTTTTAGGGCGGTACGGATTTGGTGGGTCTACTCATAATGGACAACCTATGCAGAGTTTCCTTGGAAATTTAGTTAAGCTGAAGTGAACATGTGATTTCAGTTAGTAAGAATACTTCCTGACTTCCCACATTTGCACACAGGTAGGAGACTCTTACTTCCCCTGTGGTTCAAGTGGAGAGAGAAGGCTTGGTGCTGTGTCCCAGAAGTGTGGCTCAGCTAGGCTGGGGCTTTCATAGAGACAGCCATTCAGTAAGGGGAGAGAATATTACTTTAGTTAGCATCCTATAAAATAGCAGACTTACTCGATTCAGTCAGTCAATCAGTCAATCAAGCAGACTTCCTTTGCTGCTAAATGACATACCCTTCCCCAGTTTGGAGTCACTGGAAGAAAGTTAATATGAATTCAAGAAGGTGTAAATTGATTTTTGAAAACATAGGCCTCTAGAATAAAGGCTTGCACTACTGTGTTTAATGAACAAAGAAGAATGCCATGTTTCATTGATTCAAAGATGTACCTTCCCCTCCTAAGTATTAACAACCCTGGAAACAGGGTAAGTCTTAGGATCAATGGTATGAGAAAACAGTTTCATAGTTTTGTTAGCAACATATTTTCTTTCCTTTGCGGTACAAGATACATCTTATGAGTCAGTGTTGTGTTAGGTTTAGTAAAAGCAGCCATTTCAACCCAAGGCATTGGGCAGTGGGCAGCCTTGGTACCTGCTTATTTAGTTTAGATTAGTGTGTAGAGGGGTTTGGGTTTGTTTGGGGAGGGAGTATTACTGGGGATTGAACACAGGGCCTTCAGTCTGGGCTATATTCTGAACCTTTTTTTCTTCTTTAAGATAGGGTCTCACTAAGTTGCCCAGGCAGGACTCTTAACTTGGAATCCTTCTGCCTCAGCCTCCCAAGAATGCTGAGATTATAGGCAGGTGTCATCATCACATCTGACTGAGAGTTTGTGATGAACTTCAAGCCATTTATTCATGTAATTGGTTCCCAAACCCCCCTAAAATCTCTTTATAATTTTAATAAATTTTCTCTTTTAGGGGTACAATGTTGTAACCTCTAACAAGTCTCATAATTTCTAAATTAGGGCTAAAACATGACATGTATTAATGATAATCATGGTTCCCCCTCTGTAATAGGAATTCTTACAACTTCTTGGCTTTTCGTGCAAGGGTGTTTGCTCTTTGGTTTTTAACCAAGTCTCTTCCATCTTCTTCCATCATACTCATAGCCTCACAGACCTTCCTAGAGCTTTTGCCTGCAGCCTCTTGGAAAGAAGGGGGTTCTCTTGGCTCACAGGGATGCTGCCGCCAAAGGTCTGGTACCACAGTGGCTGAAGTTTCGCCTTAGGGCGTCTTCAGAAATCCAGTTGTCAGCTCTCTCCCGACACTGCCATGTGCACCTTGACTGAAGATGTCAGTAGAGACTGTGGAGAAGGGACAGTGGCTTCCAAAACTGGTCCTGGGTAATGAAACAGTGAAAGCATTAGGTAGCCAGAGCGGCATGCAAATAAGCCAGTGCTGCCCAGGCCCGTTTCTTGAATAGATTGCATTGCCGTCTTACTCTGGCTCTTCCAGAGGAACTAGTGCCATTGGTTTTCGCCAGTTAGGCAGACACTGTCCTGGTTTCAGTGGTAGATGCTGCTTCTGAGTGTTCTTAGCTGCCTAGAAGAAAGCTGTCTTCTGAGCAGGAAGGCCATCCTTGACAGCCTTTGGATTTTGCTTCACACTTATCACCCAGCCCTGTCACCTGGACTGTTTTCTGGTGGTCTGTGCACTCTCAGTCAGTGACCATCCCTTTTCCCCTTCTGAGTCTGCCCACATAGATCTGCCTCAGCTATTTTCATGGCTGCCCAGAACCCGTAATTCATCTATCCGCGCTTCCCCGGGACATTAGGGTTGCTTCCACTGTACATACAGATGAGGCTGACAGCAGACTCTTCGCTCCAAGGAGAAGTTTGGTAGCTCCTTCATGTCCAGCTATGTGACTAGCAGGTGCCACGTAGCTTAATAGGATCCACTGGTTTCCCCCTCGAGGGACTTTGCAGATCTCAGACTGGCCCGTCTGCATACCATGAGAAGGCCCTAAATGTCTCAGCTGGGTGTGTGCCCTCAGCACCTCTCACTCAGGTGTGTGGGCTTCTGAGTGTCAGGAGCACGTGCTGGAGGGAGAAGGGAGACTGGATGGGTAAAGTCTTCCTATTTATACCCTGCTTGAGACATAAGGTAGTACAGTTACGTAAAAGGAAGAACTATTGAGGTTTCTGTGATGAGAATTTTCTGCCTGTTCTATAGAAAAATGGTGGCTCAAATCTGAGTCTCTCCCACTTGCTCTCATTGTATTTAGGGATCACAGTTGTTTCTGTGGAACAAGCAGTGAGATGATGCACGGCATTTTTGGCACTGTGTCTGGCACCAAACACAAAGTAAATGATAGATGTCAAGTTACGGGGTCAGCCTCGTGGAAGGCCTCTCTCACTCAACCTTTTGCTTGTTCCTCAGAGAATCATATTTTGGAAGATGTGAACAAATGTGTTATTGCTCTGCAAGAGAAAGATGTGGATGGGCTAGACCGCACAGCTGGTGCAATTCGAGGCCGAGCAGCCCGGGTCATTCATGTAGTAACCTCAGAGATGGACAACTATGAGCCAGGAGTCTATACAGAGAAAGTGCTGGAAGCCACCAAGCTGCTTTCCAACACAGGTATGTGGATTGTCTCCCTAGTGCTCCCCCAGCACACCGCTGGGTAAGGCAGGCCATCCCATTAGTCCAGGCTCTGAGTTGGGAAGCAGGGACAAGAGAACTCAGCTCTTGCCGGAGGAGTTATGGGTGATACACCATATATGTGTGAAGTTGGCCGGCCAGAGTCTGCCTCAAAAGCACATTTCCATCATGTGCATCTCACGGGTAATCATGGGACTAATTCTGGATGTAGTATACTCAAGAACAACTGAGTTAAGCTCTTACTGGTGAATAAGTGCTGTTAAGGTAAGTTCCACTCTTAAGCAAGGCCTGAGTTAGTCTCACTTCAAATTCTCGAGCATCTAAACCCCATATTGCAGCCTGGTGAGAGACAAATGAGATGATTTGAGATTTTGTAAAATATTGCCCTTGATGTGCTTCACCATAAGTACCGTTGGCATGGTAGCAGCAGCAGCCTTTCATCCCAAGTCTTGCTCCTCTGCTGGGTGAGGACTTGGGGAGGCTGGCAGAATGCTATTGCTCACCGGTCTGCTCTGCCCTGCCGCCTGTCTCTAGTCATGCCCCGTTTTACTGAACAAGTGGAAGCAGCCGTGGAAGCCCTCAGCTCAGATCCTGCACAGCCCATGGATGAGAATGAGTTTATTGATGCCTCCCGCCTAGTATATGATGGCATCCGGGACATCAGGAAAGCAGTGCTGATGATAAGGGTGAGTAACTGCACTCCAGACGTTTTAACAGCTTCTTATCATTTGCTAAACTTGAGCAATGCGTCATTCTGGAACTCGGCAGATGCAGTGGCAGTATATTAAAACCATGAATCTAAGAGCTGTTAGAAGGAGATATATTTAATTATGTTGTCTAAACTGTTATTTGCAAGTTAGAGCCCAAAGTTGGGCTGAGACAGGGAGCTAGCACATGAGCTGGTCTTGATGACTTAATTTAGGGCAGTCATCTTAGTGTCAGGCTTCAGTTTTAATTACAGGGGAAACTGCAGAAAATACAGATTCTTAAGTTAATTTCAGAGGAGTATCTCCTAATGCTGGCTGAAGTCATCCTTCATTTGGAGCACCCGTCTCCTCCTTGTAGGGAGAGGCTGGATTCTGAGGTAGATGATAGAATCTCCAGGGTTCGGGGTGAGGGTCAAGGACCATGGCAGTTCTTGGTGATGCTCCACAGCTCATGGCTAAGTGTTGAACTCCTCCCTAAGAGCTGAGTAGAAGCGTGGCCTCCTGTGGACCTTATTTGACCCTCCTTTCTGAGAAAGCAACAGTTATCACTGCTTGCAAAGAAGTCCTTGGCCCCTTCTGGGTTGGCATAAACAAAGGGGCTTCAGAAACACCCAGACCCTCCATAATACCTCTGCAGGGTGCTGGGCCTGTGTCTCCCAGCTGCCTTTCCAGAGCAGTTGATCCCTCGTGTACTGCTGTGAGTGTAAGCTTGTTGCCTGGAGTCTGAAGGCAGAGCTTGTGCCTTCTCGCCCCAGGGCCACCTCGGTGCCTCAGGTCTATGGCCAGGCCCTACAGAGCAGGCCTGTGGCGCACCGGGTCTCCCTGCTATGCTGATGATGCTGTGCTGTTGTGCAGTCCATGCAAGGGAGCTTCTTTTACACCTTCATGGTTTTCTAGGCACGCTCCCAAAGGAGGAGCAACACTTTTTTTGAGCCTGCAGCCTGGCCTGCAGACCTCGCCAAGAAGTCAGCTGGAAACAGGCCATTTCTAAGGGAGTTACCCCAGGCTGGTTCTGTTTTGTGTGCAGTACAAAAACACTCAGGCAGGACCGCTCTTCTCGCTGAAGGGATGGGGAAAGCACAGGTCGAGGCTTGTGTGCAGGCTGCTCCCAGCTTTTGCGAAGTTCTTTCCATGTGGCAAACACATAGAAAATAAAAACAGCCCTAGTCATACAGAGGTGTAGCTGGGTGTGTGAGGTTAGGGCAGTGCAGGGCCAAGTGGTTGGTAGTGTATTTATTTATCTAGGAGATGCTTCGGGACACTGAGTCCTGGCCTAGGGAAAGCAGCTGGGGTTCCTCTTCTAACAAGCGATGCAGTTTTTTTTTCTCTATTATGAGATCTTTGTGGCTTTGGTGGTTTTACTCAGATGAAGTGTAGGTAACGTCTCTGGCACAGGACCTAGCACATAAAGACAGTTTCATACAATGTTTTCTGCTGTGCTGAAACTGAAGAATGACAAAGGTCTTAGCATAATCTCCTTCTGGATGACCAGACACATGTAAGAGTGGACAGAACCATAGGTGGAACAGAGGCCAGGCCAGCCAGGAAGCCTGCACAAGAGAGAAAGGGGTTTGGAGAGGCTGTGGTTTATAGCTCCTTGCTTATTTCCCGCTCCTGCCCTATTCTTGTCTTAATTGGAGAATCATCCTTCCCGTACCTGGGCCTCTTAGGGCTTGACCTCGTGTCCTCCCCTCCCTCAGCCTCACTCCACAGCCCTGCGTCTTGCTGTCTGTAGCTTGTCCTCCACCTAGTGCACAGCTGCTCCTCTCAGCCTGGCACACCAGCGTGGCCCCTTAGGGCCTTCATTCACTGCCTTCTCCCTTTGAGTCTGGCTCGCATCCTTTAGTCCCTTCCTGTCCTTGGCTTGCAAAACGCAGCCCTAGTGAAGTCCCATCTGCTGCTGAGGCTGTGACTGTGTGTGGGCCCCTGGGGTCCCGTAATGGTCTCCCTACCTGGTCCTAGTGTCTGGGACCATTTCCTCCATTCCTCTCCTCCTCCCCCTCCTCCCCTCTGTCCGGCTTTCTTGGCAGTTCCACCAAGGGTACCAAGGCAGTCGGCAAGTCTGTGCCCTGCTGCCTGTGCCCCTGCCTTTGCTTTCCTCCTGGTGCCACAGGTGTCCCTGTCAGTGCTCCTGGCTGAAGCCATGAGATCCCCTGTGCCTTTTGTTTATGCAGTTATGTCCCCCCTCTTTAAGAGTGGAAGGATCTCTGCCCTCCTGCTCTGTCTCATTTGCTGATGAACCTCTCTCAAGGGGACCCTCCTGCGCTCTGCTTGCGCGCGGACTTGCCTGTGAGCCGGCTCCTGGCCCCTTTCCTTAGTCTTTGTGCATTGGTTGATAGCAGCAACTTCTTCACTTGCTCAGGCCCAAATGTTGGATTTTTCTAGGTTTATCTTTCTCATCCTTCAGATCTGATCTCCAGCAGGTCTTACCGGAGGTCCTTCCCATCAAGCGCCTCCGCGCAGCCCAGCCTGCCCCAAGCCCCAGTCCCTCGCCCACCTCCTTCCTTCCGTATCTTGGCTCCTGCAGTTTCATCTGCACCAAAGAGCAGCCGTCTCTTTCAGCCTCAGCCAGATCGTGCTGTCTCCAAGGTGCCCGTGCCTTTTGGTCCTTACACTGGCCTGTGAGACCCTCTGGCACTGTACCCAGTGCCTTTCTGTCATCAGTCTGCTGCTTTCCCCTTGCTCTCCCAGATGGGCCAGTGACACCTGGCAGTGGGCTCCCTGATCCTCATCCAGGGACAAACTCCACTCTACCAGCTGCCTTTGAGGCCTCACCTGACCACCCGGTTCCCCTTCATGATGCTGCCACTGCTTCCGTCAGAGGACGTGTGAGAGCAGGAAGCCAGAGTCCATGTCAGCCATTTGGACAGTGCTCAGCAGCAGAGCTCTGGGTGAATGAACACAAGCAGAGGAGTGACTAGAAATGTCCTTGGGCCTGCAGTGGGCTGGTGGGAGGCGAGGAGGTAGAGATGCTGTTGGGGGTGCACTCCTTTGGGAAGCTCCTTAAAGATAGCACACGCTGATGCTAACACATCTGCACCACCAGTGGTGGCATTGTTACTGCCATCAAGTCAGCAGGATCCCAGTGTGTGGCTCTCAGGTGCCTCGAGTGACACTATCCCACCCCCCGCTGTTCTCTTTTGTTTTCTTGTTTTTTTCTGGTACCAGGGATCGAATTCACAAACTTGCGCTTGCCAGGCAGGCGCTGTGCCGCTGAGCTAAATCCCCAGCCTCAGCCCCAGCCCCACTGTTCTCGATGCACGGCAGAAGCCAAGATGCTGAGCAGCTCTGCAGACCTCGCCCGTGTCCTCGAGTCTGAGCCTCACTAAAAACCCCTGGGTGAGGCTTGGACGTGGCCTGGTGCAGATGAGGGCCTCCCCTCACTCCCCTCCTGTCACAGGCCAGCCGGCTGGGCTGAGAGCCAACCCCAGCTGTTCCGCCTGCTGCCCCCTTACTGATAATGCCAGAAGACAACATTGTGTTTCAAGTCAGTAGCTAATCAAGAGAGGCTGGCAGTTTGTACAAAATAAGAATTTCATTTCATAATTAGAGCATAGATCTAGAACGAGCCGTTGGTCCTTTGGTATTTACTGAGCCTTTACCCACTGACCTGGTGTATCTCCTCTTTTCCTTTGATAGAAATGTTAGAAAAATAAAGCAAGACATGGGGGTGCACACTGGTAATCCCAGCACTCTGGGAGGCAGAGGCAAGAGGACTCAATTCAAGCCTGGGCAACTTTGCTACTTAGCAAGACCCTATCTCAAAATAAAAAGGGCTAGGATACAGCTCTGTGCAAAAGCCCTGGGTTCAGTCCCTAGTACCACATCCAACCACCAGATTTTCAGAATATATTGCTGCTTTTTACACCTCAAAGCAGCTTATGAGAAAGCCCATTACTATACAATTTTATTTTTGTACTAAAAATAGGAACATTTAAAAAGCCAGGCTTGGTGGCATGTACCTCTTCTTCAGGAGGCTGAGGCAGAAGGATTACTTAAGACCAACCTAGGCAACACTGATACCCAGTCTCAAAAAGTAAATAAGAAAAGTGCTGGTGTGGGGTCCATGTATCAGTGATGCGTGATTTTACCCACAAGTGTTTGGAACCCTGCACTATAAATCCTAGAATTTTGGGCCTCCATGCTTTTGGCCAAGAGGGTGAGCATGGCCAAAGGCTCAGGACTGTGTCTGACTCATGGCCTCTGTATTGGCGGCAGACCCCTGAGGAATTGGATGACTCCGACTTTGAGACGGAAGACTTTGATGTCAGAAGTAGGACAAGCGTCCAGACGGAGGATGACCAGCTCATAGCTGGCCAGAGTGCCCGGGTAAGAAGCACCCCTTAAGTTACTCGGTAGCATCCCTCTGGCCTGGCCTTTTCTCTTCTAGAAAAACACTGTGCATTCAGAGCACTGGTTTCCCCAGGTTTCTTCTCTCTTGCTCTGGCAGCAGCACGAAGTTCACCTGCGCTGTGGCACCTGCTTGTCAGTGGTGGGTTTCTCACAATCGGCCCTCAGCCCAGGCAGGGTGGGAACGCAGGCCAACTCAGCTGTGCCCCAAGGCACTGGTTTTTGCTGAAGCCCTGGGTTAGGAGAAGCTTAGCATCTCGTCAATGCAGCATTTGTTGAAAAGGATTGTGAAATTTGAAAAAGATTGCTGCCTTTGCCCATTTCACTGATACCATGGGTATGAGCTATTTAATTATTCATGGGTTTAAAAAAATAACAGTGGTACATTCAAGAAAACCAGTCAGAGCCATTGCATTCATCTGAGTCATTAAATCTTCAATCAATAGCATTTATGTTTTTGGAAGAACGCCAAGAAATATTTCTAAGGAGTCTATTTTTTCACTCCTTGGAAATCCGTGAACAGCGCGCAGTCCCACTGTTCCCCTACTCGGGCCGAGAGCTTGGGAGGCTGAGCAGAGCCGGCTAGGCCTGTGGGCTGTGATTGGGCAGTGGGTGCTCAGTGCCCTGACAGGTAGTGAGGAGTCCGTCCTCGGCAGTCTTCTCTGCCTCTGCCTGCAGGATTTCTGTTCCATAGCCATTTCCAGCTCTCCTTGAGAATGCGGAGCTCTCCTCTAAGAACCCACAGGAGAAAGGGCTGCGTACATTCATCCCCCTGTGCTCCATTCCCGTCTCCACCACGGAGGCAGAGGGTGAAACTTAAAACATTAGGTCAGCCTAGCTCCATCCCTGCCCAGGTGTGCTGTGAGGCTTCCCATTAGCCTTCTACCCTTCATGTGCTCCTTCCTCCCACAGTAGGACTTGTTCTTCAAAGTGGTTCAGTTTAGGCTTTTAAACTTCTAAGAGAAATAAAAAGAAATAGCCCTTCAGGCAAAATGAAACCTATTAAAGTATTATCCTACCTATGTCATGGATTGCCTGTTGGAAACATCCTTGCTAATACACGGTGAGAACTTCATACTGTCTCTGTATAAGAGCTTTCTGTGCTTCCGATGCAGGCAATCATGGCTCAGCTTCCCCAGGAGCAGAAAGCGAAGATTGCGGAACAGGTGGCCAGCTTCCAGGAAGAAAAGAGCAAGCTGGATGCCGAGGTGTCCAAGTGGGATGACAGTGGCAACGACATCATCGTGCTGGCCAAGCAGATGTGCATGATTATGATGGAGATGACAGACTTCACCCGGTGAGTGGCGCCCCACGCTGGACCACGTTGTAGGTGTCTTCTGCTGTCAGCTCTCTATCTGGCGGAGATGTCCCTGACAGGGATCTCTGCTCTCTTTTTCAGAGGTAAAGGGCCACTCAAAAACACATCAGATGTGATCAGCGCTGCCAAGAAAATTGCTGAGGCAGGATCGAGGATGGATAAGCTTGGTCGGACCATCGCAGACCATGTAAGTGACGGGCTTCGCCAGGGCCTGGCCGGGACCGTGGTGTGAGGGGCTGTGATGATCGTTTTTGTGGGCCACAGCACTCGCACTCGTCTCTAAAAATGTCTAAACGCCTGTGTCTTTTATGGCAAGTTTTAGGAGCTAGGTCCAGTTCGCATCAGAGCAAACCAAACAAGAGCTAAAACCAACCTCTCCTGTTGTTCTTATTTCACGTCTGTCCTTAAGAACTGGCATTGCAGCCAGGGCTGCCCCTGCCGGCCCTCACACACTGGACTCAGGAGGGCCAGAGCTCCCAGGAGAGTCAGGAGTCCCTTCGGCGCCCAGTGTTTCGGAAGGCTGGTGTGCCTGCCCCGGAGAGATGGGCCTCTGTGTCCTCAGCCAGCACCAGGCGGTGCCCCTTTATTCCCCTTGTGACTGGCTCCTGCTTCCTGGGACCTTCACAGCACATTGCCTGCAGTTCTCGTAATACTTACCGTAGTTCTTCCTTGTGCCTACAAAGCCTCCACCTCTTTCCCTGAGAATCATCCAAACTCAGCCTCATCTAGGCTTCGGATGAGTGGCACTTGTTCCTCATGACTCAGGGCAAAAATTCTGAAGTCATCTTGCAACTCCTCTGCCCTCTACACAGCCCGGTAAGAGACGGGGTTGCTTTGCGTGAAACCTGTCTTTCCTCTATCAGCCACTTAATCCAGATACTCAGGCCACCTGCCTGCATCACTGTGGCCTATCCTGTTAGCTCCTTGTCTTGGTCACTTTTCTCTTGTTGCTGAGACAAAATACCCAACGCCCAAAATTAAAGAGGGAAAGGTTTATTTAGCTCACAGTGTGTGAAAGCTTTAGTCCATACTCAGCTGGCTCCCAGGCAGAGTGGCACATGGCACATGGCAACAGTTCACGGCAGAGGAAGTCAGCAAAAGCAGCAAGAGCAGAAAGGAATGATGAGCAAGCCTCTTTCCCTCCCTTACACTGTATGCAGGCTGCCTGCCCCAGGGCGGGTGCAGCACTCATGCCCGTAATCCCAGCATTGGACCGTGGATCAATCACAAACTCCAGAAGCCGCCCCATGACTGCATGAGGCTTTGGGGGGACATCCAGACACAAACTGTAACACTCCTTTTCCCTCCACTCCATTCTGCTTGCAGCCACCAACACTGTCATCACTTTAGACCCCTCCATTACTCCCTAGGCCCGGGGCTCACTGCCAGAGAACAATGCTGGAAACACTTCTTGGATGTGTCTTCCTAAGCCAGCTAAGGCGGCCCTGGGATCTCCCAGTGTGCTTCTCTTTTTCTTGCTTGGGTTTGTTTACCTACCCTCCAGCTTTGCCTGACGGGACTGTCTCCTGTCATCACATGCTTGTTCTGTGCGGCACAGCTGGGCAGGGACAGTGCCTGGGGCAGAAGAGCCAGTGTGTGGACGGTCACTGTGCATAGTTTAGCACAGGCTGATTCTCGCCTGTGGGGCCCTGGCTTCCTCCTTCTGGAAGGTTGGAGGGAGTTTCCCCATGTTCTGGAGTCAGTGAGAAGAGGGATCCAGGACATTCACCGCATGCCCGTGGGTGTGAGGCCTTTGCCTCCAGCCCCAGGCAAAGTGGCAGGGGGCTGCCCCAGGTAAAGGGACAATGATCTCTCTTGCCCTTTGCCCCAGCAGGAAGGGAGGAAGCAAGTTAGTGTCGCCCCTCAGCAATAGCCTGGGGCTTGGGGTGTGGTCTGGGCCCACGCTGGCAAGCTCGGTGCTCAGCTCGTTCTCCCCACAGTGCCCGGACTCGGCCTGCAAGCAGGATCTGCTGGCGTATCTGCAGCGCATAGCCCTCTACTGCCACCAGCTCAACATCTGCAGCAAGGTCAAGGCTGAGGTGCAGAACCTTGGCGGAGAGCTCGTGGTCTCCGGGGTGAGTGTCAGCGGGGGAAGCAGCCTCGTCCACCCCCTCCACGCCCATGCCAGTTCCTGCGCAGGGAGGGAGCCTTCCTGTCGGGCCCACCTCACCTGTGCCTGTGTCTTGCAGGTGGACAGCGCCATGTCCCTGATTCAGGCAGCCAAGAACTTGATGAACGCTGTGGTGCAGACAGTGAAGGCATCCTACGTCGCCTCCACCAAGTACCAAAAGTCTCAGGGCATGGCTTCCCTCAACCTTCCTGCTGTGTCGTGGAAGATGAAGGCACCTGAGAAGAAGCCCCTGGTGAAGAGAGAGAAGCAGGATGAGACGCAGACCAAGATTAAGCGGGCCTCACAGAAGAAGCACGTGAACCCTGTGCAGGCGCTCAGTGAGTTCAAAGCCATGGAGAGCATCTGAGTGGGCCCGCCAGCTGCCCGCCCCGGCTCTCAAGGCCCGTTACCGTTCTGCACCCAGTGCACTTGCTAAGTAGAGAACCTAACACTAGCGCTAGACCCCGGGGAAAGCGGCAGATTGACACCAGCCTGGTGGTAAAGTTCTGCAAGGACATTACATATTTCTGAGTTGGTCACAAAATGCCTTTAGAATTTAGGAACATCTTTCTAGCTATATTTTTTATAAACTTAAAGTTCCACAACCAAAGAAAATCCCACATTCACTTGTCAGTAGCACTCTGGACCCTGCTGGGCCGCCTGATGGCTGGGTGGCTCAGCAGTGAGGGCCCCACCAGCCCAAGGGTGGTGGTGGGCAGTGCTGAACGACCAAAGGTGACCGGGCATCTTAGGAGACAGTCTTTGGGAAAGGAATGTTCTAGAGAGGTAGACCTTGCAAGAGAGAAACTATGTGCAACAGTAACATAATGTATCTTGAAGAAAACTGATTACTCTTTATGAAATGAAATGAGAGTTACAATGCATGGCTACAATTACTAATGTACTCTGCTGCAGGACATTAATAAAGTTGCTCTTCTCGGGTTAGGCTGTTGCGATGCCATAGTCAGAACTTGCTTTTTCTTCCAGCTCCAAATGCAAATTTCTTCACTGGGCTCACTAATGATTGCAATGGTTCCTGCCTTGGGCTTGCAGCTGAAGCCTGACAGAGTAGTTTTTGCTTAGGCAATAATTTAGATTTTACCTTATTTGTGATTACTATAGCGATTACTATAGCTACAAGGTATAATTTTGCTGTCTTATTTAAATTTTATGAATTTGAATGTTTTTTACACTAACTTTTCTCAATAAAGTCCACTACGAAGCTAAGTCCGAGTCCAGAGTCATCTTTGCCTTTAAGAGGAGCCACAGACTCACTCGCCAGGGTCTGCAGGGCCTCGCAGGCGGGTGTGGCCGAGCGCCCAGCCTGCAGCGGACTTCGCTCCTGCCTCGCTCCCCCAGCGCGCTCGCCTCGCGTGGAAACAGCCGCCCTGGAAACCGGAACCCGCCCGAACCCCTGGGCCCGCCTCGGCAGCACCCCGGCTCCGGCGGCCCCTGTAGTCACTGCCTCTGCTCCGGCCGCGTCTCGCCCGCACAGTCCGACAGCCCGCGCTCTTCCCTGCCGGGAGACGGCCGCGCGCGGGGACCCCCGAACCGCG